TCCTTACTAAAACTCCAATAATGTTACTCAAGGTGTACAAAAATTACCTAGAATATTCTTTACATCGCGTGCGCTGCGAAAACTATTGATGATAGAATAAAATAATGTACTACGACTTTGCAGAACACATTATTATTTACAAAAAGTGTCGCGACAGCATATGTTTAACTATTATAGTTATGCCACAATAAGTGTTCTTTTATTTTAAAATTTTGTTTGAAATGCCGCCGCTAGAAAAGGCTCTTTATTTGTATCTTGGTATTAATCCTTATAAAAATAAATTATTATAATTAAATTCCTACTTCTTATTTAAGACTGTTTCAAAATATTTATATAACTTTTTGAATTATCAAATTCGGACATTCCATTCGAAAGATATCACATGTTTAAAAATGTTAGTATATTGTTAATTGTTAAAATTATTTAACTATCCAAACAGCTTAGTGACTGACTTAGTACTTCTTATAATTCTTCAATCACATTTTTAGTGGTAATTCCTGTTCAACATCATTTTAAAATGCGCAAAGATCAAGATCTCATCTTTCTAGAAAAAGTTCCCAAGCGACGCCATCAAAAATACGTCGTGATGAAGAATATTTACCGGAAACTGAAAATCGTCTTACAAGTCGGAGAGAGTCTCAAGTAGAGTGTTTGCAGTGGCTTGAAGAGCAAAATAATATAAATATATGAATTTCTATATTTATATTATTTAGTACTTACTAGGGAATCGATCTCTGAGCGTTTCCAACGCCGACGAGATTAGAGAGAAAGACAACAAATGTCAACGACTAGAGTTCGTAATCGAGTTTTAGCTCACAGTAACAGATCAGCTTTTTTGCATTATGCTCAACAGTCTTCTGTCCAATTCGAAGCCATGAATAAGATCTGCTCAGTGTTCTGCCTAAAAATGGTTCGTAGAACCAAATGGTATGTGCTGTGCTTCTGGAAAAGTTAGTCTCCCCAATATTGAGGAGCCGCCACAGCCAATAAAAAATCTTTTGATAAATCATTCACCATCTGAACATTTTTAACCAACATCCGAAAGTACAATAGCCTCTTTCAAATGACTTTGTTTGACGCGAACTTTTAAAATAAAGGGACAAGTATACAAGTCATCATCATCTTCCTGCCCCTATCCCACCTAGGTGGGGTCAGAACAATATGAATCATGTTGTAGGCGGTTTTGGCCATATTTTTACAAGCAGCTGCCTGCCTGATGTTAAACTCCTTGGGAAATAAACACCCAGATAAAATTTCAAATGTGTAACTATCACGGTTCATGAGATACAGCCTGTTGACAGAGGGACAAACAGACAGCAGAGTCTTAGTAATAGGGTCCCATTTTACCCTTTGGGTACCGAACCATAAAATGGCCCCATAGATATAGTGCTGCACGGTAGACACGCCCAACTTAAAAGGGTCTCTGAGTTACACCGATTGCATGATCCACTACAATATCCCTTAATCGTCGTAATGGGAGAAGACTGTTATTATTTAACTATTCCTCAGGAAGGTACAGTGCGTAACAAAACTGTGACATGCATGCAATTGTATGCATTTAGGTTGATGGTTAGAGCTACCTGTTTTAATCCATTGCATTATTACTGTCTATTCTGTCTGTCCATATGTCACCAGGTTGCATCTCATGAATCGTGATAGTTAGACAGTTGAAATTTTCACAAACGATATATTTCTGTGCCGCTATAACAAAAAATACTAAAAAACAAAAATATATAAATAAGTGGGGCTCCAATAAAACAGACATGATTTTTTTGCCGTTTTTATAGATAATGTTGACAGTAGTAGTGTTTTTGACAATATGTAAGTGTAATACTTCTATATTGAATAAAGATAAAAAAACATGATTTTTTTAATGGTGATAGAGTGATAGAGTGGTAAACTAGCTGGGGGTTCACCTGATGTTAAGTAATAACCGCCACCCATGGACATTTGTAACACCTGTAGCGTTGCAAATGAGTTGCCATCTTTAAATAAAGTGGGCCCCGGCTACCTCTCTCACCAGACGAAACGTAGAAGTATAACACTTCTATTTTACGCCGGTCTTCTGTGAGGTCGGTACGGAACCCATCGTGTGCGATTCTGACTCGCACTTGCCCGGTTTTTATTCAATACATTGTCGATATGATGGCAAAAAGATATCATAAAGATTGAATTACATATGATGTCGTAATCACCAGAGACTGAGGGCTGGTGAAACATTCATCTTAGAGACGCTTTAAATCAAGACATTGGCTCATCAAATATCGTTCAACAAAAAAACCAAAGATGCGGTGATTTATGACCGAAGCTATGGGAGACCAGACTTGTTTGTCACTTTTACGTGTAACCCCAAATGTCCCGTAATTAAAGCGGAACCATTATCTGGTCAGCGGGCTTTCGATCTTCATGACATAATTTCAAGGGTATTTCATTACGAGATGAAGAAATTCATAAAATTATTCACCAAAGACGAAATATTCGGAATATCTTATGTGTATGATAATTTTTAGTTTTAAAATTTTTGTTAAATACCCGTGCGAAGCCGGGGCGGGCCGCTAGTGTCAAATAAATCTCTTTCTTTCTTCTTCAGACACTGGAAAACACTATGTTCATCACACAATATTTTCCAGTCAGGTCCAGTGAATATTTAACAGGAAAAAATATTTTAATTGCATAAATGTTTGTTATGTTAAATATATTTTTTTTGTTATATGTACGGACGGAGACATAAAATATATTAATTTATTTTAAATATCTGAGTGGATTATTTGTTAACATTATAATTATTTAGTTATTCAGGTTCTGGACTGGGTTTTGATCTATTATTTTACATTGTATCATATATTGATTTTTTCAATAAAAAAAGCAATTTTCAACCGCATTTTTTTATTATTTCACTACAAATAACATAGAGCGTTTCCGATTAGAGTTTAGAGAAGTGTTTTTGAAATTTTTCACAATTTTAGGTTTTATTTTTCTTTTTGGTCTTATTGCACATTTGAATTTCAGTAACATGCACAAATAAGTTAATTGATTTTGAAGGATTTCTGTAAATAAATGCCTCGAAGCGCCCAGTTGACCGACACCGACACAAGACTAGTGTACTTTTGTTGCGAAAAGTAAATATTAGTAATTACTCTTTATGTTTATTTAACTATCCTTTGACGGACGTTTTGGTACTAGTATGGCTAAGATATTTTAGTATTGATATTTTAGGTATTCAATTTTGAATAAACAAAAGAGAATTTATAATGCGTAAAAAAATAATGTATTATCAAAAAAATAATAAAATAAGCTATATGCTCCCACTTAAACTCGTAAATTAGTAAAGAGTTGTCCTTTACAATACTCAGTTACTACATACTTGAAATCTGCTGATCTAATTTAAATTTACTTTTTAACGGTGGTAGGCCCACGCAGCAGCCTCGGCTGTTGCACGAATGGGCAGGCTCGTCCGGGTAAGTACCACGACCTCACAGAAGACCGGCCTAAAGTGGAAGTGTAATATTTTCGCGTTTCGTCTGGTGAGTAAGGTGGCTGGAGCCCAATTTTCAAAAGGTTGTCAACTCATCTGGAACCATAGGGTGTAACAGATGTCCATGTGCGGCGGTATTTACTTAACATCAGGTGAACGTTCTGCCCGTTTGGCAAATTCTCACATAAAAAAATGTCTATGCATAAGATTTGCATGAATGCTGATACTTATCGAATATGCTACCTACCTACGATATATTCAATAAACAAAGAGCTAATGAAAATCTCCAAATGGAGCAAAACGTATGGTCTTAACATAAGTATATCTTCTAAATACGCTAAATAAGATAACGGTTCCTTAAGAATTCTAAGTGTTATTTTACCAAACCAAAGTTTGACAAAAATTTTACATAGTACTATTAACCTAGGCTTGTAAAAATCGTGGAGTAATCTGATAACAATTAATCTTAAAATCGTGGGCTGCTTAAAGTAAGCCGTAAATTGTTTGCCCCAGCTGTATCGGAAATTCATGAAATGAAAATTCATGGAATTTCATTCATGAAATTCCCAACCTATTGCAACGGTTAACACAAACTCTACTTTTTCCTCTACTACGACGATTTCATGTGACAATTGTCATCTTTCTAAATATCACTGAAGAACAAATTGAAAGGTTCCGACTTTCAAAAAAATTATAATATGACTTACATCAATCCGTTCCAAGCTCAGTACCAATCTCTTATTGATTTTCGACTCACTCGAAGAACCATTTTGTTATTTCCCTAAATTGTTCACGTAACAATGGGAATCTGCAATCGCTGTGACGTTCCTTTGCTATCAACTTACACCGGTTGTATTGCAGATTAATTTAAGCCCTGAACACTTGAAATTTCTTCAGTTGTTTGGAGAACATGAGCTTATTTAAGTATTAACCACTATTTACTTGAAAACTTATTATGAGTAGCAGGTTGTCGATGTTCCGATATTCGTTCTTTAACCTCCTATTGGAGGTCAGCAGGTTGGACCCGGTTCAATTACTAAAAGGCGTCTTTGCCCACGTTTTTCACTCTAATCAGACATCGACAGACTTTTCACTCTTATCAGACTCCTCAAGCCACTTCCGTTGAAATACGAAACGTTAACGTTGTTAAGCAATGCTTCATTAAAGCTGATTATTTTTAATCAGGCGATGCGACGTGAGTTTATGATTTGGTCATTATATAGTTAAAGTAGCGATCCGCCCCGGCATTACATGGATGCGATGAGCATATAAACCTTCCTCTTGAATCACCCTATTTATTGTTAAAAACACAATAAAATCCATAACGTAGTTTGAAAGATCTTAGCCAAAAACAACAAAAGCGAATTTGTATTATATTATATAAATATGGTGTCAATTAAGGCCATACGATTGATAATTGACTAAATTTTCCGTCGTTTATTGTAATTTATAAGCCACAAACTAATAAGATATTTGCAGCGAATTAAAATAAATTATCGGATTACTCTGAAAAGTGCACACTTACAGCTCTGTGGCCAATTTCATTCATCTTAAGCTGGCTTTATTTTCTTATGGAATGTATCAATTTATTGTACTCTCTCGGATATAGTCACTAAAAGAAATTTTATATAAAACCATTCTATTACTAATTTATTTTATTGTTATTGAGCACATTTTTATAGTCCCAAGCCTATATACTTATTCGCTTATCAGCTTATAATAAAACATGCGATTACATTTCCGGTCCGTATTGACCAAAAAGTACACCTATTGCTTAAGGTCCGTTATTCAAAAATATTCAATATATTGTATAGATTTACTTTTAGATGTACGGCGACGTAGATCATACAAGCGGGTTTTAAGGTTAATAAATTTATTTATACAAACGGGTATAGACATAAGTGAGCTTCGAAAATAAACTTCTCGTACTTCTTTCCAAATCAAGCTTTTAGGACAATTATGCAAGCTGCAGACAAGATATGTCACCTAAATAAATCACACAAACTGATAGATTTCATAAATCGCAAATCCCCGTAAAAGCAACGACTGGTGCAAAGAACCAATAGTGGGGCATGGTGTTCTTGAATCATCCAGTGGGTGCTTACACTGAATCCGAATCTGGTTTTTATTATAAATAAATTAAATCCACACACAAAGCACGCCAACATTAAAATACTTAACTTCTAAAGCTTATTTTTATAGATAACTAGCGGCCCGCCCCGGCTTCGCACGGGTAACAATAAGTTTAACAAAAAATTAAAATTATCATACACACACATAAAACCTTCCGAATGTTTCGTCTGTGGTGAATAATTTTATGAATTTCTTAATCTTTTAATGAAATATCCTTGAAATTACGTTATGAAGATCGAAAGATCGCTGACCAGATAATGGTTCCGCTTTAATTACGGGACATTCGGGGTTACACGTAAAAGTGACAAATAAATCTGGCCTCCCATAGTTTTAGACATAAAGTGTTATAAAAAAGTGTTATACTTCTACTTTTCGTCTGGTGAGAGAGGTTGCCGGGGCCGACTTTATTTAAAGATGGCAACCGCCAGATCGTGTGCCACTCTATCACATTAAAAAAAATCATGTTTTAATATCTTTATTCAATATAGAAGTATTACTCTTACGTATTGTCAAAAACACTACTGCTGTCAACATTATCAATAAAACCGGCAAAAAAATCATGCCTGTTTTATGGGAGCCCCTCTTATTTATAATTTTTTTGTTTTTTAGTATTTATTGTTAAAGCGGCAACAAATGACAACGAAATACATCGTTTGTGAAAATTTCAACTCTAACTATCACGGTTCATGAGATACGGCCTGGTGACATATGGACAGACATACGAACATACAGACGGACGGCGGAGTCGTAGCAATAGGGTGCCGTTTTACCCTTTGGGTACGGAACCCTAATAAATCCCAGTAATAATGTAATGGATTAAAACAGGTAGCTCTAACCATCAACCTAAATGCATAAAATTGCATGCATGTCACAGTTTTGTTACACACAGTACCTTACTGAGGAATAGTCAAATATTAACCGTCTTCTCCTATTACGACTATTAAGAGATATTTTAGTGGATCATACAATCGGTGTAACTCAGAGACCCTTTTAAGTTGGCCGTGTCTACCGTGCAATATATCTCTAGGGCCTTTTTAGGGTTCCATACCCAAAGGCTTTTTAAATCGGGACCCTATTACTAAGACTCCGCTGTCTGTTTGTCCCTCTGTCAACAGGCTGTATCTCATGAACCGTGATAGTTACAGAGTTGAAATTTGATTTTTGAATTTAGGTTTTGTGGGTATTTGTTTCCCAAGGAGGCTTGACGTCAGGCAGGCGGCTGGTTGTAAAAATATAGTTGTGCCGATCCCACCTAGGTGGGATTGGGGCAGGAGGATAATGATAACTTGTATACTTGTCCCTCTATTTTAAAAGTTCACGCTAAACGAAATCATTTGAAAGAAGCTATTACACTTTCGAATATTGGTTAAAAATGTCCAGATGGTGAATGATATTTGTCAAAAGATTTTTTATTGGCTGTGGCGGCTCCTCAATATTGGGGAGACTAATTTTTCCAGAAGCACAGCACATACCATTTGGTTCATCGACCCATTTTTTGGCAGAACACTTAGAGCAGATCTTATTCATGGCTCCGATTTGGACAAAAGACTGTTGAGCTTAATGCATTAAAGCTGATCTCTTACTGTGAGCTAAAAGTCGATTACGATCTCTAATCGTTGACGTTTGTTGTCTTTCCCTCTAATCTCGTAGGCGTTGGGAACGCTCAGAACTCGACTCCCTAGTGTGAATTTGTATATTTATATTAATATGCTCTTCAAGCCGCTGCAAACACTACTTGACTCTCTCCGACTTTTAAGGCTATTTTCAGTTTCCGGTAAAGATTCCTCATCACGACGTATTTTTGATGCCCTCGCCTGGAAACTATTTCTAGAAAGATGAGATCTTTAAAATGTTAAAAAAAATTAAACTGCCTTTGTATTTAATAATATGCTAACTATTACCCGTATAAATGTGATTGAAAAATTATAAGAACTACTAAGTCAGTCACTAAGCTGTTTGGATAGTTAAATTCCAATATACTAACATTTTTAAACTTGTGATATCTCTCGAATGGAATGTCCGAATTGAATAATTCAAAAAGTTATATAAAGATATTGAAACAGTCTTAAATATGAAGTAATTTATTTTTATAAGGATTAATACCAAGATACAAATAAAGAGCCTTTTCTAGCGGCATTTCAATCAAAATTTTAAAATAAAATAACACTTATTGTGGCATAACCTTAATAGTTAGACATATGCTGTCGCGACACTTTTTGTAAATAATGATGTGTTCTGCAAAGTCGTAGTACATTATTTTATTCTATCATCAATAGTTTTCGCAGCGCACGCGATGTAAAGAATATTTTTGGTAATTTTTGTACACTTTGGGTTACATTATTGAAGTTTTAGTAAGGATCCCTATTTTTTTTGAAAATATAATATAGCCTATATTAAGCAGGGATAATGTAGCTTCCCAACACTGAAAGAATTTTTCAAATCGGTTCAGTAGTTTCGGAGCCTATTCAATACATACAAACAATCAAATCTTTCCTCTTTATAATATAGAAGATAACTCTATGATGTCGAGTTATTATAAACATTATGAAGCGAAACTACCTTTATTCCGTTTGTGAAAAACAGTGGTGGAAGTTATTCGAGACATTGAAAATTAAAATTCAAGATTAAATGTTGTAGATAATATTCTTAAAATAATAAAGTGACCAACAAGTAAACAATCAGCTTTGATCCTCCCGTTGTAGCATCGAGCATAAACACAATACTTCCCCGGATAGTTCGCCAGTCTTCTATTACATTATAATATTTCGCCCCTGCGTTGACTTCTTGACAAAAATTTAAACATGTAAATCGTTAAATGACACTTTTTCCTCACATAATAATGGTGTAAAAGCCTGGGGGATTATTAAAACACTTTTATTATACACTTTGTTCAAAATTTTGCTTAAAATTAATTTGTGATATAATTTCTTAACTCTTACAGCAATTTATAGTTTTAATAAACGTAAAATGAAAGTAACTTTTTCAAGTTAAACATTATAAAAATACTTTAATAATAACATGAAGTTATATTATTTAAAAATAACACATTTCATATATCTTAATTGATTGAAATATTCGTATGTAAAGTAAAGCTCCATCATAATACTTAGTTACCAGTCACAAGATTTTAACACTATATCGTTTTATTGTAGCTGGAGAAAACTTCACGATACTAACAAAAATTTCCCACAGTCATATTTATTCCTAAAGGTACATAAATTGTCTACAGTATTATTTTTCCTAAAATATAATATAACGGTCATTAACACTTAATTTTTTAAGGAATGATGATCGATACCTTACTATAAAAATAATACTGTGGTGCCAGAAGGGAGAATTATTTAAAAGAAACTGAAATCGCATAAGATCTTGGAGGATGTATGATCATATATGCTATATATGATCATGCTATAATTTTTAAAACTATAGTTTTAATCTGACCAAAATTAATGACTAATTAATTTAATTATTATTAAATTAATTTAATTATTATTAAATTAATTAGTCAAAGATTTTTTATCGTCATTTAAGTGATGTAATCGACTCTTTAAACATTTAAAAAAATATATATATATCATAAGTTTAAACTTAAAATACTTTAACTATTTTTCAGAATGTACAGTGGATGTATATGAGCAGTAATAGAGGTGGGTTCGCCTATAAAATGTTTTAACGTCATCAATATTTTGGTATTGGCACATACAAAAGTTCATCATAAGGCACCGCGTTGAAGAATGTTCGAGCGGTTTCAATAGTAACGTTCATAGCGTAGTCCACAACAGGTTGTCCAAACTCTTCCGTTACGACCCTCCAGTTTTCGTTTAAAAATCTCAACACCGTGTCACCTGAAAATATTAAAGCGAAATACTTTTTTATCTCATTTATTTTGTAAGCGAATGTAGTGTTAAATTGCGGGCCTAAATATTTGAGTATCTTCAAGTATGCATTTAGCTATCTAGATTTATCAAAATTATTCAATATAAAAGTCCTTTACAAAAACATTTAACCATTTCGTGTGGTGCTAGGTAAATTTAATAACGCTCGAGGGGTTTGAAGCTAAATTCGATAAACACAAGCAAAATTGGAAACCGATTCATACTATCCAATTTATTTAGTATATTTTCATTACAATTTCAACATAACATTCGATATGAGCCACGATTAGAATAACTACGAGTACAAAAACACGTATGCGAAAATATTTTCTAGATAATTGGCATCAAGAAAATGACACCTAAACCAAAAGTACTCAAAAATACCAGAAGACAAATATGATAAATGAGACATCTCGACCGAATCGTTGTTACCAATAGATTCGATAGTAGCAATCATGGGCAGAGACACTTAATTGAAATGGCTAACATATTTTTCTATACCTTGTAGAAAGTTTCACCAAGTGTAAAACAATAGCCAATACCTTATACATAATTTATACACCTTCAAAATTTGGACCAGGGAGAAAATGATTTAGTTTTTGACATTCTTCACATAAACATAAGAATATATAGCTGTTGGTTTTAATTCTCTGAAATGCTTTAACATCGCGAGAAAAGATAAGATTAGTAGAGTAAACAGAGTTTATTAAGGATCGCACCTTATAGTAATAAAACATATCTGTTCAGTTATAAATTCTGCCTAATATACTGCTGACAACGGAATTGATTACTTGTAGAGATAAGAAAACAACTTTAGAATTCAGAACCAACTGGCATAGCTACCATTGTCTGCACAATACTTGTCTGTGGTAAATGTCCCATGGTTTATTTGCCTCTAATACAAAACTATGAAAACTTTATTATACTAGCTGTTAAATTAACTACTCATGATACTTACTTAATTCAGCATTTCCCTTAAAAAGATTGGTGATAGTGTAATGAATCTTTTCTCCGTAATCAAAAGAGTACCTGTAACTCTTTATACCGAAATGATCTCGTCCGTCATCATCCTTGAAGTACTTTGTCTTTATATTCAGCTTTATAACCGAGTTTACTGAAATTTTAAAAGTTAGTTTGTAAGTACGATTACATTTACGTTCTTATCCTCCTTTCAACACTTTTTCGTAAGACAATACCACTTATATCAATAAGGTCATATTTTAAGAAAGAGAAATAAAACATCACTTGCAATAATGTGAAAATTATATACGTTTTACCTATTTTAATTTTGCAATCCCCTTCGCCGTTTATTGGAAATAGAAGCAGCCTTCCCACGGCCGTATATTTTCCTTTGATTGTGATGTTACACCGGACTTCCAAGACGAAAACATTCTTTTCAATATAAGCTCTGTAAAAGTGGGGCGATTATAGCACAACATAAAAAGTATTGGCCACGACAACATACCCATTCAAATAATAAAATCAAGCATTGATTATATAGTCAAACCCCTTGCCCATATAATAAAGCCAATACACTAAAAAGGCTCTAAATATGCAATCAGTAATTACAGACCTATTGCGTTATTACCTAATTTTGCTAAAATATTTGAAAAAGTTATTTTAAAAAGGTTTATGTTATTTATTTTTAAATGCAAATAATGTATTATCGAAAAATCAGTTCGGTTTTCAAAGATCGAAAAACACAACTTCGGCAATATAAGAAAAAAATCTATTGGACTATTTTTAGACCTGTCCAAAGCATTCGTCTGTGTTGTACACAACATTTTATTTAAGCAACTAGAACACATTGGAATCCGTGGAAATGCGTTAAAACTAATTGAATCCTATCTTACAAACAGACTTCAAACTACAGTCTTAGACACATATGATAAAGCGTCAAAGATGAATGTAAAAGTTCAATCAAGCTACGAGAAAATAAAACTGGGCATTCCTCAAGGTAGTGTATTGGGACCATTATTGTTCTTGATATATATTAATGAGTTTCCTTTAAGATTAACCATCTATGTGTAATATTTGCTGACGATGGTACGATATTTATATCCAAAGACAATCTGAATGACTCTGAATTTATTAATGAAATTTATAGCACTCTTAAAACTGTAGTTGACTGGTTGACATGTATTAATTTAAAAGTTAACTTAAGTAAGACAATAAATTATATAATTTACTAACTATAAACAACTACCCCAAGACGTGAACATTATTATTGACAATAACAGCATTGAGCAAGTGAATCAAATAAATGTTTTAGGTGTTAACGTTGATAGGCACTTAAACTGGAAGTCTCACGTCGAAAAAATTAATAAAACAATTACTAGTGGATATTATGCTATCTCTGTTATGAGGAATGTAAGCTCTGCAGATGTTGCTAAAAATACTTATTATGGATATGTTTACCCACTATTGACATACGGTATTATATTTTGGGGAAACTCAGTAAACACAAATTCCAAATTCTTGTTACAAAATAAATGTATAAAGGCAATATACAATGTAAATGGTAAGGACTCTTTAAGGCCTATATTTATCAATAATATAGACAAACAATTTTGTAAAATTAATCATCATCATGAACGTCCTTGTAGTCTTAAATAGGCAACTGGCTGCATGCAAACTGCGGATAAGAGACTAACCTGTGTCCAAATGGGTTTTAAGAATCCACATTAATTATTCATAATCAATCTTAATTAAGCTTCAAAAATGTGAACGAACTAAAATGGTACTCCATGATATGTATTTGTTATAGAATTTAAAAATTGTAAATTATGTTTACGCCACCCTCGATCTCAGCGTTATCTGGATTTTCCTTCTACATTGGTTTATTTTACTTTTATCTCAAACTTACTTAAAACTAGATGGAGCTACTTGTATCTCTAACCCACTATAGCTTATTTTGTACGACAATAGTGATTGTCACAATAATATATAAATACTAACTGACCCGGCAAACGTTGTTTTGCCATATAAATTAATTGTAGGGTAGAAAAAAAAATTTGGGGTGGACCACCCTTAAAATTTAGGGGGATGAAAAATAGATGTTGTCCGATTCTCCACCCTGGCCGATATGCATACAAAATTTCATGAAAATCGGTCGAGCCGTTTCGGATGAGTTCAATTACAAACACGATAATTTTATATATTAGACAAGCTGTGCCCGCGACTTCGTACGGGTGGAATTTAAAATAAAAAAAAAATTCTGAAATAAAAGTAGCCTTAATTAATCCTTATTACATCAGCTATCTATCAGTAAAAGTCCGGTCCAAATCGCTCCAGCCGTTTCAGAGATAAGCCTGAACAAACAGACAGACAGACAGACAGACAAAAATAGTAAAAAATGTTATTTTGGTATATGTACCTATTGAGCCGTGATAGCTCAGTGCCCGGGCGCTCGCCTTTAATTCAATATACTCGAGCAACCTGAGTTCGATCCCTGGTGCCGGCACCAATAAAGTTTTTAACTTTAAGTGCTGACTTATCAAGTGCTCCGCGGTGAAGGAAAACATCGTGAGGAAACCTGCATATTTTCGAAATAATAACAAAAAAATATATATATTTCGAAGATATGTGTAGTCCGCCAATGCGCAGTGGGGCCGCGTGGTGGGTTATGCCCTGATACCCTCTGTATAGAGGAGGCCTTTGCCCAGTGGGACATGTATAGGCTGTTACTTTACTTTTTTTTATATGTATGCATTTAGTAAAAAGTGGTTATTTTAATATTACAAACGGACAATCCAATTTTATTATCTGTATAGATGTATAGATTAAACACAAAAATATTTCAAAACCTAAGAATTCTGTAAAAGATATACTTTTACTAAGCACTCATATCTATTTTCATATCTAACAGAAATCTGTATATGTACATTAAAAACAATACATTAAAAGGCTACGATTAGATTCTTACAAACTATTCAGAAGTTTCCCACGACGATTGCCCATGTAACATTTAAAGTTTATGGACGAAGTATGTGTCACAACAATAGCCAGCCTCAAGGCTTTACAAATAATTGCTTAGCTCAATCTTGAAAATTGTTATGATTGTCAGAGTGTATAGTAGAAATCAAATTTAATTCAACTATAGTCTAATAAACTTTTAATATTGTATGCGAACAGTTAATTCGAGAGTTGGTTGAAGTTATTTTGAGAATGTAGCCGAATGAATTTTTATATTATTAAATCGTAATCAATTTATGAGCAATCCAAGCAATCCTTTTAGATTTTCGCATTTCTGTGTCCATAAATAAAAAAAAAGAATTTTCCCATAGAGGAAAAAATTGTTGGAAAGGATGAAAATACTTACTGTACATTTAGCACGTGACATTTTCGTAAACCAGTGACTTTTCCATCGAGAAACGTTACTTTTACTCCGGGCAACTGAATCGGTAACTCGTCAATGACAAATGGATCCAGTGAAGGCACACCCAGTTCAGGTATACCCTTGGAAAACTCAGGAATAGCATCTTGGGTTGCTTTTATTAGACATGTCGATTCGGTGGTATTACAGGGGTGGATATAGTCCGCTGGAAAAAAATTATAAATAATTTCATATCTTTAATACCATAAATCTCAGGCTATCCTCTAATGTTTTTCAAATGGAACATAATGGAATAACTTTTGTCACAAATTTTTACAAAACTGAAAAGCAATTGACATAATACAATTAGCACATACAATTCAGCTCTTTACAAGTTAGTGAAATTTAAAATGACTGAGAGAGAATATTATAAAAAATGGAATCAAGTAGTTAAGCCAGTGAAGTCTATAGGCACGTTAAGCAATACTGAGCGGATGTTTCGACATTGATACACGCGAGCCATTTAAGATCATTCGCGGTGTCTATTACATTACATTTGCTTCTAGTCCAGTCTATTACATTTCCTTCGTTGGTTTCTTTTATTCATTTATAATAAACAGCATATAAGAATTTTATAGCGATCCCATTGAGACGCGTTGTTGTTTATGATTTTTCAATAAAATAATGACAGTGTCAAAATAATAAAAACCATTATGTTTATCAAGCCTTAGTCAAAAACAGAATGACCATTTCCCTCCACATGACGAATGCCCACTACTTTGGGATCAATTTTATATTTTAGTTGCCATCCGCTTGGTGGTTAGAGTCTCAACTTGAATCGCAATTTGAATATTAGTAGCATCATACACAAAATTACGTTCAAAACATCCATTATTATATGACGATAATAGTTTTTATTAAAACAAGCTTGTTTTCAATTTTGGGCTTGTTACTGTTACCGCTAACGTAAATATGAAGTAGCGGACTTGACCTGAATAGCTTAGGCCTATGCAACATACGCAAATATAAGTCAAAATAAACATTTAAATGTCTTTCTAAATCAGCTTCATTGTGAAGCATTTGTCAGATTTTAGGATAAGCCGTGATAGCTCAATGTCCTGGCGCTCGCCTTTAATTACATATACTCGAGAAACCTGAGTTCGATCTCTCGGGCATAGTCCACCACGCGACTCCACTGCGGATTGGCGGACTACATATTTTCGAAATATTTTTTTTTATTATTATTTCAAAAATATGCAGGTTTCCTCACGATGTTCTCCTTCACCGCCGAGCACCTGATACTTCAGCACTTAAAATTAACAATTTCATTGTTGCTGGCACCGGGGATTGAACTTAGGTTGTTCGAGTATATTGAGTTAAATGCGAGTGCCCGGACACTGAGCTATTACGGCTCTAAGATAAGTGAACTTAAAAATGTAACATAAACATCACTAAATATAAGTAAATAACATATTATAAATTTATTTTAAAAAAAGTGTTTATCTATACCTTTAAAAATGTATTTAGGCCCTTTATTTAATTGGAATTGAGTGCCACACAGATTCGAGAAACATCTGCACAATAAACAGAACCATATATATCTAATATAAATAATAAATAGCAACAGGAAAACTTTGGTTACCCATTTGATGAATTCTTGAATTATGAGCACTGAAAACTTGCATTTATGTTTTTAATCGAATGAAAATGTGACTTACATTCTGCGCTTCAGACAGTGTATAACATGACAATAATGAAACTGAATATGATGCATATTTCGTTGAACTCCGTTTAATAATAGTAAAATTTATTATAATATTGTCAGATTTGTAGGTATGTATCTCTGTAGATATTGCACAATATAGACAATCGATGGACTGTAGGTGGAGTCACCGTTGTATGCAAGAATTGCGAGATTTGAAAATAACAGGATGATTGGGCGCAGCCGAGACGCATGCAATTTTTGATACATATACGTTGTCATCATTCATGGTCACGTAAAAGTAGTTAAATTTATTGGGTAGTGTTCGCGTAATTGCTACTTATTCTTATTCCGATATAAGTGAATAGAATGTGACTTATTTGTTAGCCAGAAATGTAATAACTTCGAACGTTGAAAGTTACGACTTGAATATAAGCCTCAAGGTTGAAACATACATAAACGTTGGAAAATAATCTAAGTATTATTTCTATATTCTCAGATTGTAACCGTAATGTTATTAAACAATAAATAATAAAAAAAATAATAAACATTAAACCGAGTAAGCTGCCCAAGATAAATAACGATGTTCTTAAAAACAACATACTTCGAAAGCTTGTGAGGTGCTTGAAAATTATAAAGAGGATAAGATACTGTCACTGAAAAACTCTAGAAGATAGACAGACAGAGAGAAGAGTCAATGATTGGAGTCGGGTAAAAATATAAACTCATTCTTTTTTCACAGGGGTTTTAAATTTGAATGTCGTGATATTATTATACTGCGTCAAGTATTATACTCAATAACTTAACCATGTAAATGTAAAAATTAGTAGTATTTAGTACATATTAGTAGTAGTTAGTACAAATCTAGAATGAGAATTAACGGTACCGTCATCAAAATAAACACTAAGTATTATACAAATTACAATATGAATAAGCAGGCTTAGTAGCCTACCAACCAATCTAAGTTATAGGATAGAAGACTTACGTGCAAGCAGTGCCCTACAGGAACTAACCAAGGCGACCACTACCGCCAGGAAAGTGAAAACGTAAACATGTCCGTCACACATCGCGTTATTCATTCGCACTGGACAGTCTATTTCAAATATCGATGGAAATGCGAAAAAAATTGCAGCGGCCTATCGGAAACCCACGGGCGCACTGGCTGATGACCTTCGCTTCTTTGCACGGTTCGCACCTCTTATGTAAACCGAAACGGGTTCTTTCTCATTTTCGGTTGCACAAATTCGTACAGCTCTTTGCCAACTCGGAGCCCGCTTTTCACGCAACACCGACCACTAATCCGTTTTATAAATGTGTTTGCATCGCGCGAGTCATGCAGCGGACTGTGTGCCTACGAGCGTATTCTGGTAACAGCGCGGTGACCAAATCGCAATAACTCCTTAACCCCACTTTTATTTGCAACAACGTTACACTGCATCTTATTCATACGAGTCTTGTTTATATCCCTAGACGCGCTTTGCTCCCTTTGTAGCTAAAGTGATCAATATTTAATTTTTCACATAATTTCGTTATACAATCAGTAATTTTAAGTCATGGCCGATGTAAAATAACATCTGAAAAATTTGTATATATTGAAAATATTCCCTCAATACAGTATAAGTAAAGGAGATTTGTGAATAGATACCGATAAATTTAGCACAGTTATTGTTGTGTTCTGTTCAAATTTAATTTATTGTGTTATTTTCTGATTATTATTTTTTATAATCTTTTTTTCGGATTGGTTATTATTATCAGTTGATATAATTATATTATCATTATTGTCAAATATATCGACATTCAACATGTTGTATTTGAATATATATTTAGTATTCGAATATACATTTTATGTACGAGTATTTATAGTAGATGAGTCAAAAATCAGCCCTAAGAATTTTTATAGGGGAATACTGAAATTATTATATTTTTGCCTATATTTAAGTCTTTAGTCTTTAGTCTATAGTCTTTTTTGTATGTATGATTTTCTTAAGAGTTGTTTACTTTTTTGTTATTACTATACAAATTTTTCGTTATTATTTCTGTCAAGTGTCTATTTGAATTTTTAATGTTCTACGTATTCTTATTTTTTGTGGTGAATAAAGTGTTTACAACTAAAACTTGTAATTTCTGTTTTTAGCTATTGTTATTAATTATTTAATTCTTAAAAAAGTATAGTCATGATACATGTTCTACACAAAATAAAATTTATTCCACAGGAATGATAATTCACCTTATTTAACTACTTACTTTAATAGTTTTTGATTTTTGAAGTGAATGTTCTTATATTGCTGTGTATTCACTAAAAAGATTGCGCCCATATTATGGGCCAGTATTCGTCTATTTCACCGCTTGACCACCTGCCAATTACAAGCTTGGAACTTGTCCAAATAAAACACACTGTTTTTCTACTAAGCGATTTACAGATAGGCTACCAAAACCAAATAACATAAAAAGATTTTCTGAAATTAATTACTTTGTTGTTGGTTTTCTAGGTGGTTTATCAGTTTTCGATGCCACGGGCTATATAGTAGAAGTGAAGTATAGTAGCATTTTGCCGAAAGCCCCTTAAACCTTAATAATTACTCCATAAAATGGACCACGTAGTCGGACAGACGAAGTTGACCACTCAAAATGCTACTACAGTCTAAGCAGCAACTTTTTACGAAGCAAGCTCTTCCACGGCCCCATACAAGACCGGAAGTTAACAACGCATATGCAATCCTATAGGTGCTGTAGATGTTCATGGGCAGCGTTAATCACTTAACGTCGTGTGAACCACCAGTTCGATTTTCACTGGGTGATATAAAAAAAACTAGGGAGCAATTGACTGTTCATTATTGTGACAACTAATAAGGCTGATCATTTGACCAATGTAGAATCTCCGACTCGGAAAAGCTAATCAGGTAGAAAAGCAGTCAAAAACTAGGCAGTGGCCCCTATTAAAAGAAAAAGAACACTATCAAGAACACAACTTAAGGCTCCATGTGGGAATAGCACCACAATCGGCAAAGGTATTGGATAGTGAAATATTGTGTGTGTAATCTTAATCATGCCTAAAGCATGGTCTGTCGTTTTGTTTAGGGTTTATTTAAGCGAGAAAGTGGCGAGCGAGCTGACGGTTCACCTGATGTTAAGTGATAACCGCCACCCGTGGGTCTTTGACCCAACCATAGGGCTGCAGATGCGTTGCCACGTTTTAATAAAGTTTACCAAATTTAAAAAAAAAATGGGCCCCAGTTACCTCACTCGCCAAAAGATACGCAGAAGTGAACAGAAACGCATTTCTACTTAACGCTGATCTACCATTCGTGCAACAGCGAAGAATGTCACGTTAGGGCCACATTAAAATTATTTCATGTACTTTTCGCTATAGGTATGTACTTTTGCCTAAATTTAAACATGCAAGTTTTTAAGGACGTTTTTCGTCATCGCCACACACATGGTTGGTTAATTAATGAATGCGGGCGTCCCATTACGGACCTATTAGAACAAGATTAACAAAAAGTAAATTTATAGCCTATATATTTTATAACATCTAATGTTGGGCAAAGGATTACTCTGTACAGAGAGTATTGCGACCCCCCCTGATTTTTTCTAAAATACAAATAGCTCAGTGTCCGGGTGCTTGCCTTTAATAATATACTCCAGCAACATAAGTTCGATCCCGGTGCCGGCACCAATGAAATTGTTAATTTTAAGTGCCGACTCATCACGTGCTCAGTGGTGAAGGAAAACATCTTAAGGAATCCTGCCTGCCGCGTGGTGGACTATGCCCTGATACCCTCTGTACAGAGAAGACCTTTGCCGAGCAATGGGACATGTATAGGCTTTTAGTTTATTTTTTGTAAACGTAAGCTTTAATTATATAATTATATTTGTAGATATTTTAAATAAGAAGCATGTAATTAATTTTTTTTTCTTAATCTTTTAATTACATCCTGTTTCTCCAATGTTTGTTCGGAATTTAGTTATGAGTACTAAGACAAAGGATTTATGTTCGTTTCTTAATTATATTTAGTTGTAGTCATTTTATTTGAAAGGAGGAAACTATACACATTACAATATACAGTTATATCTAAGGACTTGGGGATTAATATTAATCATTAATGTTTATTTGTATTTCCTTAGTTTTTCTTTGGCATTCTTCGAAGTTTGCAATTGGCCTACTTTCCCTTAACCAATATTTCAACATGAATTGAAACTAGTTTGTTAGGTAATGAACACATTTACTCATACTTATCGTGTTTTAATAAAACGCCTATACTACATGCAATTAAAAAGTATTTAGGTGTCTTCAGTGTGGAACTAATTTGAAACGTTTGTCCCAGCTAGATTTTTGACTTGTTGTAATTAAACATTTAAATGGATAATTTGGTGTTTATTAAATGAAAAAACGGATTTTGTCGAGTTTTAATGTTGTTTTTTAATTCTCGACGTTTCTAACCTTTTCCAGTTTTCGTGGTCACGGGACAAACGACAGTAGCCCGGTTTAATTTAAAGACTTCCTCTTTAAACTAAACCGGGTTACTCTCGCCTTTAGCTTATCTTTAGTCTAATAAAGGGTATGCCTATCTTCAGAAGTGGAATCTTACAGGAAATGATGATGATGAAAGTCTAATGTTGGTGTGCTTGGGTACTTATAATTTTATAACTTATGATAACAAATCCAAACCGTCTTCTCTAATGAAATTAGGATGTTTCTTTATTTCAAAAGCCTCGCGGATCATCTTTGGGAAGAATCGGTTAGAGCGGTTAATGTTATTACAAACTGCCGACTTCTTCAACCGTGGATGCTTCACGTCACAGTGACCTTGACCTTATGTTAAATGAGTCACTGATAAGATTGGCTCTAGTATTTTATTAATTTTTATAACATAATAATTCACTTTTAAATAATCTTCGATGACTGCTAAAACTTTAAAATCAAATCACAAATCTATTTTTGAATACAAAATATAGATTTAAGACTGTTTAGAAACGCCTGTTGTTTTAATTACAGCAATACAGTTAGACTTGGCATTGGCTATTCGCCGCCTGCTTTAAACGTAAATATATTTATAATTATATTTTAACTTAAAATGGCAATGGTGTAACAGCAATTAAAAAAATACTTGATACAGACATTTACAGTGTTAGTGTGCTTGGGTACTTATAATTTTATAACTTATGATAACAAATCCAAACCGTCTTCTCTAATGAAATTAGGATGTTTCTTTATTTCAAAAGCCTCGCGGATCATCTTTGGGAAGAATCGGTTAGAGCGGTTAATGTTATTACAAACTGCCGACTTCTTCAACCGTGGATGCTTCACGTCACAGTGACCTTGACCTTATGTTAAATGAGTCACTGATAAGATTGGCTCTAGTATTTTATTAATTTTTATAACATAATAATTCACTTTTAAATAATCTTCGATGACTGCTAAAACTTTAAACTCAAATCACAAATCTATTTTTGAATACAAAATATAGATTTAAGACTGTGTAGAAACGCCTGTTGTTTTAATTACAGCAATACAGTTAGACTTGGCATTGGCTATTCGCCGCCTGCTTTAAACGTAAATATATTTATAATTATATTTTAACTTAAAATGGCAATGGTGTAACAGCAATTAAAAAATACTTGATACAGACATTTACAGTGTTGGTGTGCTTGGGTACTTATAATTTTATAACTTATGATAACAAATCCAAACCGTCTTCTCTAATGAAATTAGGATGTTTCTTTATTTCAAAAGCCTCGCGGATCATCTTTGGGAAGAATCGGTTAGAGCGGTTAATGTTATTACAAACTGCCGACTTCTTCAACCGTGGATGCTTCACGTCACAGTGACCTTGACCTTATGTTAAATGAGTCACTGATAAGATTGGCTCTAGTATTTTATTAATTTTTATAACATAATAATTCACTTTTAAATAATCTTCGATGACTGCTAAAACTTTAAACTCAAATCACAAATCTATTTTTGAATACAAAATATAGATTTAAGACTGTGTAGAAACGCCTGTTGTTTTAATTACAGCAATACAGTTAGACTTGGCATTGGCTATTCGCCGCCTGCTTTAAACGTAAATATATTTAT